TCTATGGCAATTAATTGCATTTTTTCAAGAAATTGCATCACTATGGATTTAGGAATTCTGCTTTGAGTCTTTCTTATCTCTTATTTGGGTAATAGGATCTAGAGCTTAGAAGTTAATGGACCCCTCGGGTCTATGGTCACGATGGGGTACTGCAGAGCTTAATTCTCGGCCCAATTTTGTTTCTTGTTCATATAAATGACCTACCGAATCTAATAAAAAAATAACCAGGAAATAGTGCTCTTTGCGGATGACACCTTACTTTTATTTAAACCGTAACGAGAGCACTCAGTTATTGATAATGTGTCATGTGAATAACACTCTCTAAAAGGTTGTGACTGGTTCAATATTAATAATTTGCTTTTAAACGAGGAAAACCAAATTTATTCTATTTTGTAGACCTAATGTTAAGCAGGTAAAAACCAGTATTCTGCTAAATGAAAAGGCGTTGGATACGTTCGGAAACACTCATGGTATGTATTAGAGCCTTACAAATGGATTGTCGAATAGACTTAGCTCTGCAGCATAGACGCAGTTTATAAAATTCGTCAAATAACCGATGTAGAAACAGCTAAACTAGTGTATATTAGCTATTTTCATTGTGTAATGTCATATGGTATTTTATTATGGGAAATGCTTCTGACATTCAAAGTATATTTGTGTTGCATAGGGTTTTTAGCACAATTTATATTCTCAGTTATGGGCAGTCACTAAAGAAAAGAATAAAGAAAAAGATAAGTAAAAAAAATTGGTATTATGACAGTTAGGTCTTAAGACATAAATGAAAATTTAGTGCATGTAAAAAAAATATTCATTTATTCATAAAGTTTAGCGATTTTCATAATATAAACACTAGGAATAAAAATAAACTCGTGTTGCCAACAACTAGACTACAAAAAGTAAGAAAAAAAGACACCTCTATGGTTTGTTTCGGCGTTTCATACCAGAGTGAGTAGAAATGTTGCTTCTATATCTATACTATAGTACGGCCGCTGAGTTATTACCGATTTGACACATGACGAATTGACAATACTAGTGAAGTGACTGAACCAGTAACCCTAATATCATTTGGGAACAGTTTGTTTTTAAATATTCTAGTATAGTCTGTAATTAAATAAAATCAAAACAAATAATAGTTAAAGACACAGGTTCTTTATTAGGTGGAGTATCCTTGATGGGCGTAGATAATTGGTCGAGGACATATCAAAATAAAACAAATTTGTAAACACTGTTACACATTTTAATGAATAGAGTAGGTACAAGATGTTTTAATAAATGACTACCTATCATTTATTAAAACAATTATTCAGACTCTGAACCAGATTCGCCAGAGCTGTCATCGCTATCAGTCACTTGTATGACAATTTCATTGTCTATAATGGTGTCCACTCTTATATCGCGTTCATAATCTTCTGTTATTAGTTTTCGAGTCTTTTCGACGACCTTGACCCAATCTTCTTTCGTTATTTTGCTGCAAGCATCTTTTAATAGACCCATCATTTTATTAGTACTGAATGGCGGAGTCGTATTATTACGAGCTGCGTAACCTGTAATGTAAACATTAAATAACGTTAATTTATTACATTAAATAAACGAAATGTTACACAATTACCTACATGTAAGGGACATGAGATATTTATTTCTTAGTTATGTATCTTTTTACTTATATGCTGAATATTGGATGTTATAATAGTACAAATTATTCATATTCATAACTTATGCGATAAAAAACAATACCTTTGATTTGTGCCCATATTAGCTCAATGGCATTGTACTGGCAGTGATAAGGCGGAATTCGAAGTACCCGATGTCCATGTGCCAGAGCTATCTCATCTACCAACGTACCAACTTTACTAAGTCAGACTTTAGCATTTCGGCAGTAGTTTCAATTCCATTTTGGTGTAGCCATGCTACGAGATCAGCTTTCTTGTATGCCTGAGTAGGCGCTTTATTCACTTGTTTCGAGTGATATGAAGCGTTGTCCATTATTATGATAGAAGGCTCTGGCAGGCTGGGTAATAATTGCCAAGTACATCACAAAAAGACGTGGAAGTTTTCTTGTCCCCAAGAAAAAAACGTCCACGAAAAGCTTTCACTGTTACTGAAAAAGTAATGATCCGCAACGCCTACAAGTACGTGAAAAATGAAACTTCTTAGCAATTGGAGGCCTTTGAAGTTGTGGAAGAAAATGAATGTATGAGCAAAGTTGCTGACATATTGGGAATAACCTCACGCTCTATTTGTAACGTTCGACATCGTTCACTACTAGCTCACTAGATCACTAGCTCAACGACGCCGATCTTTCATGAGCGAGTGAGACTAAAGATAAATGAGTGAGATAGATGATGGTTGAGTTCACGCAGGTTTTTTTATGCCAAATGTACATTATTTCTATAGGATCAAAGTTTAATATTACTTAAGAATTAAGCCAAGTACAAGGAAAATCAAATTATGTATGATTTCTATTATACAACCTAAAGAAAAGTACAAGAAATAATTTTTTATTTTTAATTAGTATGTAAAAGGATGTTAATAATTATGTAATCTTATCAAAATGAATAAAATTGTATTTAAAAAAAATTGGTTATAAATGTAGTTTCAAAAACTGAATTTAGGTTAATATGAAAATAAAGAAAGGTTTGTATGGCGAGAGAGGCTTAAAGTGAGTTATATACGAGTATACTGAGCTAAACGATCTAGATGAAGAAATGAATTAATTGTGAGACCAATCAATTGAATCGGATCAATGAGCTAGTGAGCTAAACGAGTTAGTGAGCTAGATGAGTGATATATATCTTTTGAGCGAAATGATTTATATCAATCTTTTCAGCTCAGTGATACATTTTGCGCATCACTAAGTCAGACACTATTATTTTATACCTACATCTTTTATATATAAGCAATGATGCCAAACTATTATAAAATTTACCATTTTAGATTTTACAAGTGATGAACGATGATCCAGAAATGCCCAAGGTTTCCAAAGACACCCTCAGAAAAAATTTAAAGCATCTTAATTTTAAATTTGTTGCACGGTCACGCAAGAGCACACTTATTGATCGAAGTGATATAATAACATGGCGCCAGCGTTACTTGCTAGATGTCAGTTTCGACGAGAAGGGAGACATATATATTATCATGATGAAACTTGGGTTAACGCAGGTAAGGCTAACATTTTGAATTTATATTCATTTTACATTAAATTTAATAGTAATATTGAATGTTCATGTACTATATTTATTTTTAGGTCATACCGTAAAAAAAGCTTGGGTGGACAAGTAAGTCACATCATCTCGGCAAGCGTTTTTGGAGGGACTGACCACTGGTTTAAAAAATCCATCTGGAAAAGGCAAACGTCTCATAATTAGCCATATAGGTAGTGAAGAAGGCTACCTGGAAGAGGGGCTCATGATTTTTGAAGCAAAGAAAAATTATGAAGATTACCATGATGAGATGAATGCAGTTTGTTTTGAGGAGTGGTTCGCTGGAGTCTTACCAAAATTAAGACCAAACTCAATTGTGGTGATGGATAATGCACCGCTCCCGAAAATTGGAAACGGCACCAAAAATGAGCTGGAAAAAAGCTGCCATTCATGACTGGCTTTTAACTAAAAATATATAGACAGATATGGTTAAAGCTACGCTTTTAGAACTGATTCCACATAACGAGTCTTTTAATAAGTACGCTGTAGACGAAATGGCAGCACAACATGGGATCACGATTTTAAGACTGCCCCCTTACCATTGCGAGCTGAACCCTATCGAATTGATATGGGCGGAGGTAAAGGGGTATGTAGCTCAAAATAAGAAAACCTTCAAATTGACAGACGTGCGAAATTTATTTGAGGAGGGCATTCAAAAAATTACGGCTACCGAATGGTCTAAATGCGTATCCCATGTTGTCAAAGAAGAGGAAAAAATGAGTAGGCTAGATATGTTAATTGACAATATCACAGACACATTTATAATAAATGTTACAGAAAATGACTGCGATAGCGATAGCGATGACGGCGACGATTTATAAAATAAAATACTATTACCATAATACATCTATTTGTTTTATTTCTCATGTTCCTTCATGATCACATTTTTTTATTTATTTCACACACAATTATTAAAGAAAACTCTCAGATCCTTAATAAAATTAATCGTCATAACTAAATTATCCGATCAGGAATATTTAATTTCCTGATATACTTAGTTTCTATTAAAGTAGTAGTAGTTCGATCCGGAAATATTCCATTTCCGTATCGAATAATTTCGCAACGTCACTATTTAGTACTTGTCATAACGTTGCAACACTGAAATTGTCAAATCTGGAATCGAATTAAAAGGTATACTATAGCTGTAAAAGCTGTAAAGTCCGACTTGTAAAAATATCTGAAAAGATTTACTTACCGAAATAAATATAATTTATTATGTTGAAATTATTAAATTTTTGGTAAAAAGTAATATTTGTTGAATCTTTTTTTTATATTCTATTACATTCACACAACGCCATCTAGCCCTAAACTAAGCAGAGCTTGTACCATGGGTCCTAGACAACTGTTACAAATACAGATATACTTTTTTTGTGAATACATACATATTATACATAAATCGTTGTAGGCAAAAATCGCTCGTGTCCAAGTCTAATGTTTACTAAGATTAACTAGTAAAACCTATGTTATGTCGTTATACTGCTTTTATACCAACATACAAAAACGTGTAACACTATAATCGATTAGAACATACTAAGAAATGATTTCGATATCTCTTATGAATCGGATGTTGTAGTAATCGATTTCATTGACTGGGGCCAATGAAATCGATTACTACAACACGTTATACTTCAATCTGTCCGAACTGTCAAACGGTACCTCTTAGATAAGATGAACAATAGGTATAGGTACCTACTGCAGGTAGTATTTTTTGGTGTTTCAGAATGTTTTGTGCCGTTGTGATGTGACTGTGTTCAAATCAAAGAAACTGAATTAAAAGTCACAATATCTACATCATACAAAATGGATTCGCCAGATCTACTCCCAGATTATAGTCCTGATCCAGATGCAAATTCTGAGTAAGTTTTTTTTAAATTCATCATCATCATCTCACTCGAACGACGTCCACACACGAGGGACATAGGTCTCCTCCAAAGTTGCCACCACAACCGGTTCTGTGCTGCCCTCATCCAACAGCTTCCCGCGAAAGTCATAAAAGAAATTTTCGAAAGTATTAATCCAATGTTGTTAATATTAACTTTTAGTTCATTCAACATCCAACGAGAGTCCAAACGAGTATTGATCTAGATATTACTGTACAACTTACAGAAATAATCAATAAATGCTTAATGAGCGGTTATTCCAATGAAACATGATTGTCCAATTGTGACCGAAAATTGAATGAGTAATCTGCTAGTTTTAGTAATACTCTACTATTTTATTACGAAAATACCTGAAATTGCGAGGTCGAGTTGATCGGAATTGAATTTTGACTGAATTTTTACTACGAGAATTGGCCTTCAAGCCTACCCACACTTCATAGAGAAGTCTATGGCCCTATCAGCATTTTGATAATTGCTAATACATATTTATAGGACACATTTCTTAAATAATGTTTCAAATTGCTTAATAATAGACTTTAAATTTTTTAGGAATCAAGTACAAATAACTCAAAATGAAAACTTTGAAGAGCTACAGAAACAAGTGATTGCAAACTTTCAAAAGCCAAACGTCCCTAATGTTAATGTTCCAGAGAAGATTATTATTTGTTTGGATATATGTTATGACAATCAAGACTCACTGTTCCGTTTAAGTGATGGGTCAACATTCACCCCCATAAATATGATGAAGAGGGTTCTAGAATTTTTTGTTTACTCAAAGAATGCTATCAATAAAAAGACAGAGTTTGCATTAGTTGTTCTTAAAGAGTCAGAGCCATGCTGGCTGCAGAACTTTACTAACAATATGAAAGACATCATAAATGAAATTGACTACATAAATCCTGAAGAGTGTCATTCTGAAACTTTTGATTTTAGTAATCTGTTCCAATTGTTAAAACAAAAAGTTGAAATACCTGAATATAAAGATGGAGAGTGCCTAATGCCCCCTCCTCATGTGATGCGCATGATTGTATTATATGGACGATCAAATTGTTTTCCAATAATATCACAAGATGACCCTTTTTTCAACTTCTTGAAGCAACATCTATACTTCTACATTGACATATTGTTGGCACATGAAGAGGATTGTTCTCAGTATAAGTGTGTTGAGATATATGATGCTCTTCAAGATTTGGATAATGGATACTCTTATGTATATGAAGTCTTAAGAAATGCAGCAAAAATTCATGACTGCATTGCGAAACTACTTGCACATCCTCTACAGAGGCCTTTGCAGAAAAATACTGATTATTCTTTTGGTTCTAGATATTAAGGAAATAAAATTATATTTATATGACTAGTTTATTTCTGTAAAAGAAACAACTAAGCTAAGCTCCTGTTGTGATATTTATTTCAACTCTGAAAGGGGGTTTTGATTGGTATAAAAGAAAAAATACTAAAGCTATTTTATTACACAATAATTTAAATATTTATTATGTACTTTTGTAGTTGATCAATTTCTGGATCTCCAGTTTTCACTATATTTATTATTTACATCTTGCAGTGGAAATGTTTGGACTGATAATTCAAATTATATTTATTCTATGGTACAAGCATGGCTTACACAATTTATTACATATAATGATAGAATACCAGCTATAGCAATTCCAATAACACAGAATGGGATAGTTCACTCTACATTCCAGCACAGCCAACATTTTATTCCATTCTTACCAATAGATATTAAATAATAATACTTCAAGTTGACTAATTTTTGATACTTTATATAAGATTAATATTTTTGACTGCAACATTAGTTGACAAGGCATTGTTTCTATCTTGTTTTGTCCTTCACTAAGCTGGGTGGGTAATATTCAAGTCCAGCTTAGCTCCTCCAATAGCTCTGCCTATTCCAGAGTTTGAGCAAACTTAGTTATTTAGGATATACACATTATACATATATTCCAATATATGTATAATTTTAATTAAATTCCAAATGGGGGATGATTTTAATTTCTCGAACTGCACAGCTAGATCATTATGCATGGGGAGTAAAACATCAAGTGCTTTTGTTTAATTGTCAAACACAGCAAACTTTTTAATATTTATAAATAAAACAAAAACTCACCAAGTTATACATTTAAGTAAAACATATAAAAATAAAAGTAACATGTAAACAATTCATAAAAAATATTGTTTTATTTACAATGATTGGTATAACATCTAAAGCGATTTTTTTAATTACTTTAATTTCAAGAGACCTTTGTTTTAGTGAGAATAGAATTATGTTGAGAAAATTGTTGTCTATCGTTCATTTTATTGTGTACATCAATATCTATTTGATGTTCATTCAAACCGTTTAATGTTTTACAAGAGTTTTACTTAATGGGTATGAAATTAATATATAATTAACTTGTAATGTAGCTCACACTACTATGTCGTGTACCTGTAAGAGTATTGTTAGTTCTCCTACAGAATAGCACAGTGTTTTTTTTTGTATGTATTGACAAAATGACAAAAACAATGTAACACAAAGCGACCTGAGTTCGATCATAGATGGCACTCTTTCAGTTCCATACTCATTGTAATTAATATATTAATAAAAATTAGAAACTCGTCCCAGGCGTTTATTTAAATGAACTATACTAATGTACAGTTCATTTAAATAAACGTAATTATTACCATCAAGCTGCAATACTTATCCTCAATAGAATACATAATTCAGATTTCAATATCCTACTATCACTATCTGCCTAATGTCATTAGACCGTTACAAAATTAAATAAAGCTGTATTACATTAATACGTAACTCCGCCAAAATAAAAACGATCAATCGACGCGAGATTTCATACACATCACTCGCATACATTTCATCTATAGTTATAATTACATCTGAGATCCTAGGGGTGTGACCGTACACTATCGACGCCTAAGATTTGACACTGGATAATTTACGAACGAAATAAATAGCTTCACGTATCAGTCTCAATATTTTAAAACTATTTACAGAATAATAAATTCGGGCGTCGCTAAACATCATACGAAGCGATCGTCGCGCGAACGGGAGCGGCTCGACGGGCGCGCCGCCATCGCTACCGGCCGCGCGGCGAGCGGCGACGCGGTCGCACGCATTTCACTTACAGTATCTTAATTAAGCCAATATGTGATACTAGGGGAGAATAATTAAAGCGTACAACCGCTCGGCGACGACACCGGGCGGGGCTGGGCGCGGGGGGTCACAGCACGCAGGCGGCGAACACCGCCATGGCGCGTCAGGGCGGCGCGGCGCGGGGCGCGGGGGGCGGCGCGCGCTCGGGCAGCGCGGGCGCGTCCGCGCCGCCGCCGCACGCGCGCGCGCGCATCACCAGCGCGTACGTGCGGTACCGCTTTATCTGAAATCACGAGCCACGTTTTACATCCGACGCCCAGCGGTAGTGGCACTCGCCCGACCGACCGGCTACCGACCTCGTAGGCCAGGTAGTGCTCCTTGTCCCGCGCGTGCGGCGTGTTGTCGCGCGCGTGGCGCAGCGCGGCCAGCTCCTCCTCCAGCCGCTCCGACCGCTCCTCGTGCTCCGCCAACTGGTCTCGCTGTACGAGAACACGGATCGATAATAATTAAAGAGCTACCGCGTTACTCGTCGAGTCTCCGGCGGCACAGATTGAGAATAGATCATAATATGAAAAATAATTATAGTTTATTTAGTATATCTAGTATATCAGTGTAAAATCAAATATTACTCATACGTTTGCCGGGTTCATTGTGGACTCCTTTCGTACTATATCGAAATAATTCGCTCCCTCTACAGTCATAATATATATCACCGGAGCATCGGTATGCCACTCGTTTCGATAAGATTTAATGGGACATGAAATGATTTAAATGATGATAAAAATAATTTAAATATACATCGTTTATTTTGTTTAGTTTTATGAAGTGTTTTTTTTTTTCGTTCTCTTTTAACTGTCTACTAGCATTCATAGACTGTATATATGTATAGTAAATCTTATCCCGTAGTTAACCAATGCTCTCGCTTCGATGATACATGACCGAATCGGCAGAGAATATTTATCATAGGGCAAACGCACTTGCCGTACTACGTTTTATATAATATACCATAGAGAGCTTGGTGTGCGTGCAGGGCAGCAGCGGGCGCTGGAACTTGCGCTGCGACCCCACGGCGCTCGCCAGCGGCGCGCACGAGTACGCCGCGCACACGAAATTGATGGTCTCCACCCACGTGCATAGCTCCTTCGAGTCACTGCCGACCAACCGACACCATCAGATTGTATTATGATTCACCGTATTTAAAAAAGTGTACTATAATCGTTTATATAGATAATTACAAATATCACTGCGATCGTTTGAATGCGCTCGCAATGCGTCTGCTGTGTCTAGCATATTTTTCAAACAGGATAGTGCAAACTTTCTAGTTCAAGCACACTAAAACCCTTATTAAAATATGCTTTTAAATATTTCTATTTTTTAATGATTTACAAATGTTTAATTGATAAAACTAACCCAAAAGTGCTAAATGATAGAAGAAAACAAATTAGCTATTGAATTGTTTACGATAAAATTGAATGAAAGCTTCAGCGCTTTGAAAAGTTCTGTTTCGTTACCAAACGTACGCGTTAATTACTTAGTTATTAATTCAATAATATAATTAGTTTTGTATTCATAGATACTTTTAATATATATCTCAGATATTTCTGAAATGAAATGTTAAAGACAATTTATAATAATAGTGAAGCAGTTTTACGAAGAAAAAAAAATACTGAATTAAAATTAAATTTATTTCCATCTGTATTGGCTTTTTTAAGATATTTGGCCAATTTGGAAGAAATATCTTAAACTATTTTAAAGAAACGGTTATTTACAAGCTATGGACTCTATATTTCTATCTATGAACTCTATAATTGAAATAAACAACACTATTTTTCTTGACTGAAGGTAAGAATCGTTCCATCAATGGCCAGATCCTAAAAAATAATAATTCCTATGTTGGTATAGGTATTAAATTAGAAGAAAAAAACGTACTTTCAACATATACATAGAAAGATTTAAAAAAAAAATCTTTTTATAATCCGTTTTTTTAATATGGAAGTCGAGAATGTTCTATTAAGGTATATTCTCTGTCGGTCCACTTGTTCATTATACATGGAAAATATAAGTCAAGCCAATATAAAACAAGACAAACTTAATTATCGGATATATCCGATGTTTTCAGACATCTCAATGCGCTTCGATGAATTAAATTATAACTAAATTAAAGTATTACTTGCTATAGTCCATCTTATCTAAGAGGTACCGTTTGACAGTTGTGATAGATTGAAGTATAGCGATGGGGTCAAAGAAATTGATTATTCCAATATCCGATTCTTAAGAGATATCAATATCATTTTTTTGTACTTATATATTAATCGATTATAGTTTTACAGATTTATGTAAGTTACTATAAAAGCCCGGGCTATTACACGGGCTTTTATAGTACCTTACAACCTATGATTTGCTATTACTTGCATATCATAGGTTTTACTAGTAAATTTTAGTATACTTACAAATGTTATTAAATAAATTCGATTTTTCATACATTTTAACAATTATTCGTAATCAAGTGAATTTGAAGAGCCTCAACACTACGGTAAAGGACCTGACTACGTCACTACGGTAAAGGACCTGACTACGTCACTACGGTAAAGGACCTAAATTGACTATGTGAATTTGAAACGAAGTTTGAACGAAAAACATTGATTGTGTATAAATTGGTTATTTTACTGTTTCAAAGATTTCAATTTAGTCATTTAAAATAAAAATTGCTTTATAGTTCCATGGTTTCACTGAAAAGGTTATTGAAATTGTGTGAGTTACGCCTATACAAAGTTGTTTCGTCTTCAAAAGTATGAAACGTCAGATAGTAACCTCTTAGATTAGATGGGACTATAGTAAATGTTAAATTACTAACCTTGTTTGGAATAAGTATTCGGCCTGGTCAGCAGTTTGTAATCTGAAGACATGCTGTTTTTTTGTGTAGTCGGTCGCTTTCGTAGCTAACGCATGGTGTATTCTGTATTCACATAAATATATAATATTAAATTACATTATGAGTATATTAGGTCTTTTCCTATGAAATTGCCTTTCTTCAGTACGTGTCATTTCAAATAAAAAAAAGTTTGTAATGGCTCTGTATTCTAAATTCAAATTAATTTTGTTTTAAAACCATGACATTCTATTTACAAACTCAGTCTTTTGTGTTTTGATTAGCGTTGTATTTTCATTACATTTGAACATTTTTCGTCATAATGGATACTTTAAAAATTCGTGTAATTATGGAATATGAGTTCCGTCGTGGCACCAACGCGACACAAACGGCACGTAACATCAAAAACGTTTACGGAGAGAACTGTACAAACGAACGCACAACCCGTTATTGGTTTTCCCGGTTCCGTTCTGGAAATTTTGACTTGAAAAATGAAGCTCGTGGTCGTCCGGAGACTTTGGTTAACAATAATGAATTAAAGGCGATTGTGGGAGCTGACGAAACTCAATCTACAGCTGAGCTAGCAGCAGCTTTTAATGTAAGCATCAAAACAATATTGATCCATTTGCGACAAATTGGCAAGGTAAAAAAGCTTGATAGATGGGTGACCCACGACCTTAACGATCGCCAGCGCAACATACGCGTCGAGACCTGCCTTGCGCTACTCAACAGGCAAAGAAATGAAGGAATTTTGAAACAAATTGTTACGTGCGACGAAAAATGGATTCTGACCCTGGTTCAGCACCAAAGCAATGCCCTAAACCAAAAATGACCCCTAAAAAGGTGATGGTCACTGTTTGGTGGTCTAGTGCGAGTGTGATTCACCACAGCTTTTTACAAAACGGCATGAGCATTAATGCAGATGTGTACTGTGAAGAACTGGAGAGAATGATGGAGAAGCTTGCACATCTGCTCGTCCCCACTGCTCCTTCACGACAACGCGCGACCCCATACTGCGCAACAGACAGTCTCCAAGCTGCAAGAGCTGGGGTTGGAAGCTCTCCCTCATCCGCCATACTCACCAGACCTTGCTGAACTTGAAATTTAGACAACTTTTTAGTGGGTAAAAGATTCAATTCCCGAGAGGCAGTACAAAATGCCTTTGAAGAGTTTGTTGCCTCCCGTCCAGCTGATTTTTTACAAGAAGGGCATCAATAAACTGCCAATGCGTTGGCAAAGATGCGTCGATTGCATGGGTGATTACTTCGAATAACAGAAATAAAAAAGTTTGAAAAAATAAGTACTTTCACTTATTGCATAGAAAACGGCAATTTCATAGGTAAAGACCTATTATTTAGTGTTATTGCTTGTGATTATTTGGCTCATTCCTTTAAATTTGAATATTTGTTTTTGTAAAAAAAAAAATATCGGTAAAAACTTAAATAGTTCATTCAGTTGAAATTTAGTTATAGTGTGGACCCCATAAATGATATGATTGAAAGACTTTCAGTTCAATACATTTGTTTCAGTACATCGCGTGTTCCGCCATTTTAATAAAAGTTGGTGAACCGTTTTTCATGGTATTAGTAATATGAGATTGGTGACCCTTCATTTTATACTTTTCAACTATACATGAAAGAAACCTGAATTTATCGAAAAATAAAATTCTTATTACGTTTATTTTCAACGAATACAGAACCCAAACTGAACTGCTACAATGATCTGATTATATTACATTTAAATGAATTAAGACTTCCTTTATTGAAAAGCTCAAAAGCAATTGAGGTGCCTCAAACCATTTTTTAACTGAAAATAGGGTAGTAAATATAGTATTTCGCCTGAATGATTAAATGTAACATCTTAAAGTACAGCCTGAATTGTTCTCCATTATCAATTTAATTTTTTTATATTTTCAAATGAATATTAAATATAAATGACTGTCAAGTAATTAACAACTTCATAACATATAAAATTATTAAGCTGTTCTTACCTAATAGCGTTGTGTATGTTATCAGACATTTGGCTACGTCTAAAACCGTGTTCATCTTTATGTAAGTATAGAACTAAGTCTCGAAGCGTACAGTAGAACATTTTCCAACCTCGTCGGCCGAATGGAGCTGTAAAGTTAATAAAAAAATTTAAATGGTTATTATTTTCAAAACAAGTCACTTATATTACTATTTACCGACGGTTTACACATTAAATATGTAACGTCTTTCCCGTGATCAGTGGGAATGATGTCGTAAGAAGGGACGGATGTGTGTAACAGAAAGTGCGTGTGCTATTCTTTGTCAAATGTGATTTGACCAAAAAGCTCGCACAGTTGGCCGCTAGTTGGTTGGTCGATGTTAGATATTACACATGGATTTACTATGTTATTTTATTTGATGATCCAAAAATCTAGTGATCATAAAAATATATTTAGTTATGAGTAAAACTGAGTACGTAAATGTACTTATACAGAATGTGGTTCTTATTTTTTTGAAATGTAATTTCGTAGAAAAAACGTTTTAAAGAAGTCGTACTCTTTTTCCCGTTGGGATCGACACAACACTTTCGCATGACGTAGCCTTTCTTATATTCAACGGCGCGACTCTGGTCCGGCACGTCTAGGAAGGGGTTGCTTCCCACTGCGGCGCGAGACTCTCCTCCGCCTGCAGCAGTTGTGTCTGTGTCGCTGTGGACATGTCAATTCATTAGTTTTTTAAAATTACAATATTCACCGAGTTTAATAATGAAATATAGAATTACAGTGTAGTTTATTATTTAAAGATTGTAACCTACCAGTTGCGTAAATTATTTATTGTTTTATTTACTATTATAATTAGCCACCGTGGTGGTTATGGTGCTATGAAGTGGATGAAAGTGACAAATGGGGTTCATATTAATTATTGTAAAACCAGTTCAATACAAATTTTGATAATGACGCGAAGTCAAATATTGGACAGATCATGTGACTACGAGACGTATTTTGTTCAGGTATGAACTTGTGATCTGCCCCATCACGGTGAAACGCTTACAGTGCCCACTGGAGCGGCTGCGTCCGTATGGCGTGGTAGAGGTTCTTGAGCGTGTCGCGCGGGAAGTTGTCGCCGTCGTTGAGGTCGGCGAGGTTGTCGATGAACTCAGCGCAGGACATGCGGCGGAAGGCGGCGCCGCCCCCGCAGCCGTGCAGGTCCGTGTTCAGCAACATGATGGCGCACGTCAGCGTGTGAACCGCGTCTACCCATCCAGCACAATTTATTTGTTACTTCGTTCAATTATTTTTTTAAATATACAATAAGAAATCAGAATTATACTATGATGACGTAGAATAGTTATCTAACGAACGCGTTACAGTTGCGCAAGGCTGCATGCCGTCCACGCCAAGTTGTGTTATATTGTTTTTATAAAATTATTCCGCAAGGTCATCAACACCTCGGAAGAGCGCACTTCCCAAAATTAAAATTTCTGGAAAGTACAATTGTAGCATACTTTTTAATACGTGTTTTTTTTATATTGACGAATCTTTATAACACATATTCTGCACTTTATTTCTAGACGATTTGCAAAATATGAACAAAAGATATTCAGTGGTTTAGAAAGGGGACATTTTTTTTTGTTTTCGTTATTTGCAACATATGTGTATAATAGTCATAATACATTAACCTCAGGCGGCGATCAGCTGTACACGCAGCGGTTAACATCACGAATTTTGTCGATTATTGCGTCATCAGGATGAAGGACACGCGTTTTAAATTAGTTCATCCAGTAAGTTAAGTCAGTCAGCCCTTGTTATGCTGTTCTGTGTTCTTGTAGATGCGCTCACGACAAATTAGCGTAAAAATAATATTTTTGTTGTTCGTGAGATATTTATTTAGAAAAGTTTTGTTGTGTTAATAATTGTTTAGTCTTATTGCTTTCGTCATAATACACGGCAATGGTGTAAACAATTACTGTTATCGTGTGCGCAAGACTTCATGTTCTAACGAGTCCCGCTAATTTTATTTTGAAAAGTTTAAATATTAGGTTGTGTCTGTAGTGTAGAGTATGAAACTGAGTGAATTATCAGTCTTTTAATTTTATTGGGTTATCGGTATCAACATCCATAATGCCGTGAATGACCTTCACAGCCGCGGTACATCCTGACATGTTAATTTATGGGATACTCTATCAAAACGCATCTTTAGCTTTACGAACAAACCGAGGTATGGAGTCAATCACGTGTGTCGTACAGACTGCCGAAGTTTTGTAAGGGAGGTACAAAGATTACAAGACAACCAAAGTACCTACTTTTTCAAGGAGTGACACGTACTGCCGGGTCCAAAGCTAGTCGAGCATTCCCGAAATAAACACGTGAATAAAATCGAAGTAAGTGATTAGTAGATAGATAATAAGAATATAAAGTTCGCCGGCTCGTCGCGGCAGCGGCGTCGCTTTGATGTTGCCGACATTGCTACGCTTTCGTCTACAGTTCAGCGACTCATGTTAACAATAGTGTTCTAAGCTTTGTACCTCGCTGTATATCTTTTTAAAAAACTGAATTACGTTCTGCTTACAAGTGGGATATCAAAAATACACCATAATCTATTATTTTTCAGCCAGCAACAAAACATTGAATTTGGTTATAGTGTTTAATCACGTAGTAAGCCTTACCTTGAGAATTAAAAGATCCAGGGTTGCATTCTAGATATCTCCTTGAAAAATGCACGAGCACTCTTTCTCGTTCTTGTGTCTCACCACTAAGCGCGAACCTCGAGAGGAACGTTCGTAATGCAACATCTAGTGTGTCAGACTTGAAGTCGAAGTGTTTCACATATTCTTCTGCAACTGCACGAGAGAATTCATTGCTGCAACAAGACAAGATTTTTGTATGAGATACTATTAACGGTTTTTATACCTTGATTACCTTGTATTTATAATTTTTTGAAATAATTATTTTTAGTGTAATTATTTTTATGTGCTTATGCTTTAATCTATACTAATATTATAAAGCTGAAAACAAACAAACTCTTGTTTGTTTGTTTGTTTGAACGCGCTAATCTCAGGAACTACTGGTCCGATTTGAAAAATTATTTCAGTGTTAGATAGCCCATTTATCGAGGAAGGCTATAGGTTATATATCATCACGCTAAGACCAATAGGAGCGGAGCACCAATGAAGAATGTTTCAAAAACGGAGAAAATTTATTACTATTGAGAGACGCAGACGAAGTTGCGCGGGTCAGCTAGTTATGTATACAATAAAAAAACTATGACATGCTTCACAGTGCAATGCAATGAACGCAAATCATTGACACACACGCCTCACACTTTAATATAGACGAACTTATGATAATATAGTAATTAAGGCTTAAAGCTCTCACTTTTTACTTAAATGCCGTGAGACATCGGATTTCTTGAAGCCGTCGAGATGGTACAATCGTTTTGCTAATCTCTCCGCGGAAGGAATATCAACGGCCTTGGGACTGTAGTGGAAAGAATGTAAGGAGTCTCCGTCAGATCCTTCGTCTGAACCGCCATCGGAACCGCTACATAGTTCCTGGAACATAAAATAAAAACATTGTGTTAATGATATTTGCGTTACTGTCCGAAACATATTCTAGTGATCGATAATGGTATAAGGTCGAATAGTTCTAATCTACCCGTCTAGATGAGTGTGACAAGATTTTCCTTTCAGAATTTTGTTATTAGAATTTTATTATTAACAATACAGTTTATCTCTGTGTTGTCATTTTTCTTCTATTCGACATTAAAAAGTTTTAAAGATTACGTGCCATGTTCTAATAACCTTTGTAACCGAAATTTCAGTTGAGGCAACCTAAACTTGACTTTTTTTTATGATTATTTATAGAGAAGTTAACGCTGAATAGGTGTTGCATAGCTTTAATATCGTCTGACGATTTGATTTGACGATCTGACTATGGTGACACAGTTTGATTTTCTGAAATATATTTCTTCATCAGAACAAAATAAACCCACCTGATATCCTTGGTTCTCAGGTGAATTATGTCCATTCTCCTTTCCGTTCTGCGTATAATTACTATTGTTATTATTATTTACATTTTCCGTTGCATTTGCGTTCTGTTTATCGGGGCCTTTAACTTGTATCACTATTCTATATTCGTTGTTATGGTCTCCGTTTAGAGTGACGTCACTACCGTGTTCGTTTGAATATGTCGAGTTGGATTTCGCTCGTTTGTGACATGGCTCCGAGACTAGAATTGTAGAATCTGAGTCGGAGGGGTCCGACAGTTCCATTCGAGGGCATTCGCGGCCTGTTTCAAACATATCGTCTTGGTCCTGATAGTCAGGACTCGATATATTTGATACAGCTTCTGATAGGCTCATGTCACCTGGTAAGGAAAAGAAGAAATTAATTATCTACATGTACATACTTAAGTATTTTAGGCCAGGTAGTAAATAGGCTATGGTTCGAATTTTTTGCATACTGACTGATTGATGATGAGACTGATTGACAAAAGATAAGAGTAAATTCTATTAAAGGAATCTTAGGTGGGCGCAGGTGGTTTCACGGTGACTGCGAATTCATTAAAACAATAGGAAATAAATTGTTAAATAAAACAAACACTAGAATCAAAATTCTGATAACATTTGAAAATGGCGTTATGTAGTCGTCATGATTGGGTTAAAAAAAAGTATAAAGCCAATGTCACTGGGGATGGTGTTAGAATTTAACGATATCCTGTGTCACTAAAGAACGGGAAAAGAATGTCGGCAGATTAACAGGTAGAAGAAGATGTTTCGGCGAATGAGGAGAGCACATACCATTGAGCGGGCGGTGCGGGTGCGGCGCGGGCATGTGGCGGTGCGGCGGCGTGGCGCGGCTCGACATGACGGACGAGGAGGCGGACGTGGGCGAGGCGGGCGACGACGAGCGCTGCGACATGCCGTCCGAGATGGACGTCGAGTTGGACGTGACGCCGCTCGCGCCCGACCCGTTGCACGCGCGCTCCGACGCGCTCGACACCGGCGCGTTGTACGTCCACACGATCCTGCGTCACATTACTGTCAATATTCGCTCCTACACTTATTTCTCATTTCACACATTCATTTTACACGGCCGCTCATCACCGAATAAATTCACAAATTTAAATAATCCAAACCCGTTAAAACATAAGATTGGTGAATCATATTCTTTCTGAATAGGATTTAGTTATCTTTTTCTTATCGATGAAAGTAAATAACTTCGTACTTTGTCACAACTAATACATGTACGAATTGATATTTCAATGTATAATTAACGTTAAAATTTATGTAAAAAATGTAATTGGACGTCTCAGGGATGTAAAATACATGTTCAACGAAACCACATTCAGTAAGTAAAAAGCTTTGGTCGTATCTCATTCTCTACCGTAATAAATGACAAGGTAATATCTGTTTCGTTTCGTACAATACGATGATGGTTTGGAGATCGTCAAAGAACATTAGACTGTGTACAATTTAGAAAACATTGCTTTGTGACAGAAATAAATGGAGCGGTGACAGCTAACGCGAAGCAGCGTGTTGCCCAAATCATAAAAACATGGATTGTATTAACATTCTGCTGTGTGTTCGTGTAAAATGTATACATTGTGTACATACAGTACTATTGCGTAATAATGACTCTCGGTAAAGCTCTTATATGTAGTTTCGTAATTTATATAAATAACAATGATATCCTGTTCGTTGGTAACAGGACTAGAGCACGTTTGGTATAATTAGACTAATTAATAATACGTTAACTGTTAAGCTAAACTGTTTATTACACACAGTAAAGCGCCGTTGGCTATTCAAAAATGTGTGTGTTGAGTATAGACGTTTAATCACGACATAAATAATATACCCTTATTCGCTAGCTAATTAATTTACAATGTAATTATAACTACACGGAACATAGTTGAATTGGAATCACAATTGGTAATATTTTGTTTTACTAGTTTATTAGTTAGGAGAGTAGGTTACCGAATTACCGTTTCACGAATTAATCGTTAAAAAACGTAAATTACGCCATATGCTAGATTACACTGATAAAAAGTACACGTAAAAGAAACGTATTAAATTGCCGTTTGGCCGGAGGCATCATTCGAATAGTACTGTTCGTGCGTCACCTGTCTCGCTCAGGGTCGGAATCGGACCTCGGTCCGGGGGTCGCTGAGTCTGGTCGAGCGTCTAGAAGAGTGTTGAGCGATGACGTCACGTCCTCCTCCATATCCACCGCCACTGCGCTCAGCGACGACTCCTTCTGGAACTTACGCCGCGATACTCGACACCGTGCAACACATTTGTACTACACTACAGCAATAATGCTATATAATAGCCGCAGCAGGTGGAAGAATAAAGAATGTATTGCAATCAGACCAAATACTATTTAGTTTTTTTAATAATAATAATAATATATCTCACACACTCACACACGGCCGTCTGATCCCAAACTAGGCAGAGCCTGTACTATGGTAACCAGACCGCTGATAAACATACTTATATATTTCTAAATACATACATATTATAGATAAATTACACCCAGACACAGAACAAATGACCGTGCTCATCACACAATATTTGTCCTGGGTGGGAATCGAACCCACGACCTCCGGTTTAGCAGTCAGGGTCACTAACCACTATTTTTGATCATAAAGATGATAATAAATATACTCGGAAATTATAGGCATTTGAAAACATTAATTGTAAACCCAAAATATTAACCTCCAAGAATAATATCTCAATTGAGTGGTCTTGATAAGTGCCAGTGGTTGGTCCCGTCAATTTTTCAGGTTTAATTAAATATATTATAAGGGATTACTTTACATATATTGTAGTAAAATAGCATTATCATATTCCTGTCTTTATCTTTTATATTTATATTAAGTATGCGGGACATTTAACAATAAATAAGCTGAAGTTTGTAACTAGTTTGTCGTGTTTCTTATATCACTATTATCTTTCTTGTCTTTCTAATCGTATTATTCCAGGATAGTGTGAGTCCCTTATTTCGTTTTTTTTCCCCGAGGCAGAAGGAGATCAACAACCGACTTAAATAATGTTTTCAGATTTTCAAGGCATGAACTTAAGTTTTTGTATAGCTTTTTATAGCAAGAATATGTTTTGACACATGCCATCTATATGATATATGATTACATAACATCATAGATACATATAACTCGTCGGGAATTTCTGGATCTCGCTGTTTCCGCACCTTGTGCGCCACCAAACTAAAGGGCAACGTTATTTCTCAGTACCACGACACTTTCGAAGAGTTGTAAATAAGCTATTTATTACGGGCGCTGATAACAAGCATTACGTGATTGCACACTTGTAAGCTTGCAATACCAAGACAGCAGGACGCAGAGGTCGTGTCGTGTAGACGAAAGAGAGGTCAAAATCTAGTGTACACATTATACCTACATCGCTTACATTTCTGGATTATATAAATAATTAACATCTCGGCCTAGGACTTGTGACAAGTCATTTCTATATTTCTAGACGTGTCTATAGCCAGTCGACTAAGGATCTTGTATATAAATTATATTACACTTGGCCCATCTTACACAATATCATCCTCCCCAGCTTTGAGAATTTGCTCAAAGCAGCTTACTGGCTAACCGTGGTGTAGGTACTAGTGTAAAGAGTGTATAAGTATAGTAAGTGTACCTGTAGATGATCTTCAGAGCGCGAGGTGCGTACGGCGTGGTGCGCGCGCGCCTGCACGTCCGCGCCGCTCGCGCTCCCGCCTCCCGCTGGCGATGCCGGCTGCGATATGAACCTACCAATATGTTGCACTTTATATGATTTTTAACACGAGTGAAACTTTCAACAGCTCTAGCTTTTTAACTATTCAATGTACTTTAGTAAGTAATCACTATTTACACAAAAGTTTGATAGTTTTGTGTTCATAATAATTACATTGGCTCTTTTCGATACCAACCAGAAGCTTGCCCTTAACGGAAGCGGAGTTAGGTTGGCCCTTATCAAAATAAATGCGAAGTACCAGAAGACTCATCATCATGACTTAGTAAGTAAAATGTCATTGTTACATCGAGTGATTCATTCAGAATCTTTTCAATTATTTTATATGCATCTTTTACATAATAGTAACATAATCCTATCATAAAGCGAGACAAGGCATTCCCGAGAATACAAACTAAACAATATTACTGTAGTACTAGTAGTTACTTTCTAAGAATTTTTGTGCAATCCTGTACGGAATTCTGCAATGTTTTAGAGATAGTTAACGAACATCTTTTTATATCTTAATTCTTGTATATTTTATAATTTTAAAGAACGTGTTTGAGATAGTAGAGATTTTTAAAAGGAAAATTGATACTGCTAAGAGTACGTATATCGTCTAGGAGCTGATAATTAAGGCAACCAATAAGAACCATTGTTAGTTCCTAGACTTAAACACAACAGAGGCCAATAATTCACTTTACTCAATGATCACGTTTTAATTTACAACAAAACACAACTGTTATTGCATATCAACTAGACAACCTTTGAAGACCAACTTTCATTTACCTTATCATTTATACAGATATTGCTTTCACTACGAGAATTAAACTTCTTTGAAAGAATCGAAGCCAAACGGCCTAACTCTATGGATCAAACTGTCAAGTGATGGTATGTACGTCAATGAGTAGGACATAAGGAAAACAAATAAGATAATGCCCATAAATGACGCGCACCTGTAAGTCATTAATCACTTTTTGTTTATTTGCACAGGAATAAATATATAATAAAATCTTTGTTTAGTACAACTGACCCACGCGACGTATTCTTAAGAAAATACTAAGACACGAATAAAAATCAATGAAATACAGTAAGATATTTTGTATTTCTGTTACGTGGGGCATACTGAAAGTCTCTGGATCTGGCCATTTACAATAAAATAATGAAAAAGCAAATCTAGAATTCGAAAATGGAACTCTGGGAACATGTTACTTTTTGATTTGCGAGACTATCATTTGTTTTTTTATTGTGACGTCCTTTCGAAAGTTGTGTGTCGCATCAAAATTCATTTAATTCCAAAACATTTTCGTTCGTTACAGACTAATATTGACGACTTATTGAAACTGACAAAAACTTACATGTCAGCAAATTCGTGCTTTGTTAGGCATTGGAATGAGCTAAGTGAAAAACATTTTACAAGTGCATCTGAAGGTTCGGAAGCTTTGCACTCGATGGATACCGCATGACTTAACTTTCACACCAATTTAAGATTGGTTCAACTGCTTTGTACAGTGGTTTCAGCAAATGCAAAAATGCATTAATTGCGAGGGAATATACTTTGAAAAACAATAAATGTATGGTAAGTCATATATCTAGTATTATTTATCCGAATCCAGAAACTATCAGTATGCCCTAAGTATGTAAAGGAAGTTATTCTATCACTAAACTTCTGATGTCCGTCTGTTTGTCATATCAGTAGTCATGTTTTACGTATCATAATAAGTAGACAGTATTAAATTTTGTATTTTGAACTAAAAATTAAAGTTCAACTTGATATAAGCAACGTAAATAATTTCGGCGTTCAGGCTCTATTTTGTTTAATGTAATAGGTGGATAGTTCAAATATTCAGGATGTGTGTTTCTGTTCCCGATATAATAAAAATTATTAAAATAAAACAGTTTACATTAATCTTTTGTGTTTGGTCAATCTTAATAATAACGGTCTATTAGGTATAGCTTATGACAGAGGCAAGGGATAATCTTTATGCTCCAGAAGGAGACCGCAGAGCGGGATCGGCAAAGGGCCGATTCCGTTCGAAGAAGAGACGCGGCAGAGGTCACATCTTGGGGCGATGTAGCCACTGCAAACGACCCGAGACAGGTAATACCTAGGTGCGGCCGGTAGGTGTCGTCTAAGCCGGGGCGCTCTTGCGCCTCTTACTGTGCAGAGCAGTGGCATGTACGGGATGTACGGTCGCGGTCTTGTCATTGGGTACAGCGTAGAGGGCTCCAGAAGCCGCCGATGCGTCCCTGGATCTCCCTCCCGTCTACCGAGGTAGGCCTCTGCGTAGTTTAGTGGGTAGACCGTTTCTCCCTCGCGTCACACGATACACGCCCTCTGTTTCTCCAACGGAGGGTATAGTGCGAAAAGCGTCCCCCACGTAAAAAAAAATGGTATAGCTTATGAACCGTCATAGAAAACCTACCTTACTAGATTTCTACACCACGCGAAGGTTGGCTGGTAGAAAATGCCTGATGATTCAAACTGACTGTTCATTTGTAAGTCATATAAAGTATGCTTGTAACAGACCTTAGCAATGGTGCAGGCTAAATATCATCAGAACGACCAACGACACAGAATATAATTTACACTTTGTGTCGTACTGTGTAGTTATCTGACGATATCCGGTATGAAAAACCCAGAATGTTAATATATATAAAACCGTGTTTTTATTAAAAGAGCTTAACACTTGTTAAAGTAACTATTTGTAATAAATTAATAAGGGACAGTTATTTCTCTGTCTCGCTGTCCTAATAAAAAAAAAGATTGGTGTTGTCACAAAGTAAAGAAAATATATTGTTTTACCATATTTTTGGTCATACATTTTACTAGCATGATCTCCGACTACGCCGGTGTCTGGTGAGGAGTTATGCCGCTGTGCCAAGTCCCCTCGCCCACACAAACGATTATCGCTTGGAGACGCTGGTGTTGAATTGTATCTGAAATTTGCAGGATTTGTCTTATTACTGCTCTTAACTCCAAACTGGTATAAAAAGATGACGTGAGATGACATTCTAAGAATCTTCTAATAAATATGGCAATAATACTTTGTACATAACTATAGTTTCTTCTTTGTCTTTGTAAACAGAGGCTCGTCAAAAGTTTATTGCTATACTGTCTTTGACATGAAGAAATTATATCACCAATGTGTAGAAAGGATTTACTATGATCACAGGCATCTCTTTTCATTTGTTATGTATTTGGTAGTCATAGCCAAAAGATCAAATTGAAGACAGCTGTTTACGAGCTCCAAATAGGTTGTGTTACGTCAGATCCTAACAAGACTATTAACATTTTATAGACAAGAAAAACATCTAACTTTGTTATAAAATATTGATATCGATAAGTGTTAGCGTGGTGTTCAAAACACAACAATAACTAGAAAAAACGCAATTTAATCGCGACAGGATAACGCTTTCTTAAGTCCAGCTTGAGACCGGTAATTTCTTTATAAGATGCAGGAATTGCCCAAACAACAGTGTAAATGCAAATATTTAATCTTTGTAAAAAATAAAGAGGAACATTTCTATTCGGGGCTAGATGCACGACTCGGTTTGTGTAATATAAATCTTTCACGTCACAAGCAAAAAACTGGTATTTTCCTTGCAACATATGTAGAGCAAAACTTTATTTAGATACATGTATAAATTGTCTCTTTAAGTGGTATAATATAAAAGAGCCGCCCGGAAATTAGATGATAACAAATCGGCTTGTGTTGTTAGTGCAGTGACCAATGATTTGTTAACCGTAATGATTATGGCATCATGCTCTATTAACCGTGTTTAAGCATACATTTATTCATAGGAGATAAAGAGATCGGACACGCCGTTATTGCGGCGGTAAGACCCATTATGGAGGATTGGCTCAAAAGGCATCACGGGACCCTCTCATACCGGCTGACGCAGGTGATCACTGGGAAAGGATGCTACGGAGATGACCTGTGTCTGATCCGCAAGGAGCCAACATCCGAGTGTCACCACTGCGACGGCCGACCGTGTCCACGGCGTTCCACACTATGGCAGAATGCCCGGCGTTGGTGGAGCAGAGGCGTGGCCTCGTAGCGGCCATCGGTGTGGGAGTTCTCTCGCTTGGTAACATGATTGCAGTGAGTGAAACTCCGACGTATTCCTTCTGCAAGCAAGTTATGCTTGCGAAGGAGATGGCGGAGCGGGACCTGGAGAGGTTTAGAAGTCTCCCGGCCCGCCAGGCCCGGTCACGGGCCAGGTACCTCAGACGACTCATGCGTAGGTCACAGAACGACCTCCGTCCTCCATCTGGCACCCTAGCAGATGCAGGACAGGGTGGCGGCGACATGCGCTGCGGGAACATGGGGGTTCCCACACAGGAGTGGGTCATCTACCCGCCGTAGATGGCCCGAGGTACGTCGCGGTACCAGGGATTTCCATTCTAGGGTACACCTGGTTCCTTGACTACTGGTAACCGAGGGGGCGTGCGGTTTTTAGTCGGTTTGAGACCCACATAGCCATCGGTAGGTGGTATCAGAGGGGATTTCCGCACAGATAAAAAAAGGAGCTAAAGAGATATGTACAATAATTAACAGTGGCTTACTTGAAAATACACAAATGTTATGTGTTGTCATCAATTTAATAGTAGACGAGCACATGGATCAATGATTTAATATTTTTCCAATTATTTTATATCAATGCTAGTTATAGTGCAATAGAACTCGCTACTGCCCCTTTTCGAAAGCAAACAAAGGCACAGCCGTAGCATCCATTCAACATGTTTTCTACCCCCTTGTTACTTCGTTGTGGTAGAAGCTAGAAGCCTAATTGTCTAAGCTAATTTTCAGTGAACGATAGGATAGGAGGAACGATATTTTTCTTTAATTTGTGTTACTGATTCATTCACTAATTAATGATTCAAAAATTATTTGGTACTTCAGAGATACACCTAATTAGTTTAACTATCAACATTTTACAGTGACCGTACGTAATTAAAATCTCTATTTTTAAAATAAATGGAATGACAGCATAAATAAAATAAACTCCATATTCCGGAAACTAAAAAAATAATAATTTAAAGGTAAAAGAAACAGAGGGAGACGTATGAGTAGGTTACTCATCGTAGGGACGATAAAGTTGGCCGTGATTTTGGGAATCCCCGTCAGTTTTGCAGTCCCATGTTAAAACGTTCAATTCACCAATTTATACAGAGATAAATAAATCAACCCCATTCGATGAAAGAGTAACGATCACTGAAAAACTTACAGACATTACTATCATTTTTCTGGGAGTAATTCAACTATAATACTTTTCGAAAATGTTAGACAGTTAAGTAAGGCGATCGTGAAAGATTTGTAAACAATTCTGAAGACATTGAAAAAAAATTACCTATGATAGTGTGTACGATGTGTCGGCGCGTGATGGTTATGGTGTGGATGTTCAACTCGGGACAAGTTGAGGATAAGGTCACCGGTCATCATGTAGGCCTCAAACTTTGGTGTGACTCGTTCCCTCTTCTTATCGTCTTCAACCAGTGCCTCACAACTGTCTCCCGACTGCACTCCAGACCCGTTGCTCGATGAGTTGCTGGATGAATTACTGTTGCTATTCGAGTTGCTCGATGGAGGTGACGATCCCGATCTGATCAATTATGTGTTTAATTTTATGGCACCTTTGGTGCTGCCGCCGTATAGACATGATTACGGTACAGCGTTATATACAAGATATTGTAAGCCCAAATCTACACTACATTACTATATTACTTACTATTGAGTGTTTAACATTTTTGTATTACCTTAATAGACATAATATCTCAATAGAAAGCGCACCGACTAACCTGCTATTAAATTACACATAGCTACATATACATAGTATGTTTATAAACTTAATTGTCCATAAATAAAACCCTGGTTTTTTAACACAAATTTAAATAATGTTGTGGTAAACGCATTCGTATTAGAATTGAGGATTGTCATAAAATTATAATTTGTGAAATAGTTTTGTCCTTTCTCTTCCCTCAGATCAAATAAAAAAGTTAAGATGGAACTTTGCGAAGAACGAAGTGACACCGGCTTTATAAACATGTGTGCCATCATATTTTTTTTTTATTGAAAATATTGTTTACTTATGTGTAAAATGCGATTTCATCCTACTATATATCTCTTGTAGTTTGATTTTTACACCCGTCCACAACACACTTCGGTATTTTTACTTGTTAATATTGTTGACATTTTTGACGACGTTTTGACTGACAAGGCGTAGTTTCGTTGCACGTGTGTTCGTGTAATTGTGTGTACACGCCAAGGCGTGGTTTTAACTGGCCTCACTTCTTTGTTCACAGAGTATCATTTAAACATTTTGATTTGATCTAAAACTTTTCCTATGTTTAAAGCGATTGAAGTTAGTTTAAATATTGCCCGATATGTTTTGATTTCAGTGAAGTATATTAGTATTTTCAAAAAAGTATAAACTATTTCAATGCGCCTAAATCGTGCTAAGCTGTATTCTTTATTCCTTAATTTTCGACACTATTTTATTTAAATGGGACCGACCAACCTTGAGTATAACTACTTCAATTTAAAAAAAAAATTGGCAAATCACAATGGGCAAAGATATTGTGCAACATATCAACAATCTTTGTCTAAAAATGCAGCATGATTAAATTATAATAAATTGACAATATTATATTTTTACATTAAACATTACATTGTTTATTATTTTTACATTAATTTTTTTTTGTATTATTATTTTTTTATCATGATGATGATGATGATATTTTTACATTACTTATAAAATAGATGGATAACTCTTAACTTGTACCTTGTTACAGTTGGAAAGTTAAGTATAGATAGATACAGTTACATCCATGTGTATGAACATGTTTTGAAAAGATAACGGATAAGGGGCGGTCTTATTGCGAAATAGGTATTTAATTATTTCTTGTAAAGTAGTTTATTCCTTTTATTGATTACTAGCTGTACCCTGCCACGCTTAGCTTGGACATATTGTACTTGAATTGATGAGAAATGAGAAACAAAACTGACACGAAAAATAGATAAAACATTATTTGAAGCGGGTTGTGTACCGTGTCAAAATTTGAGCTCAACTTCATACTTTTTTATAAATTTAGATTGATTTTTATTAAACTACTCTTAGTTTTATATAGATGGGTGACAATTCTTTTTTCTTAATACTACCTAACTTTGCCAATCGATCAAACACCTCATTAGTAAAGTATTTTGGACATGCTATAGAAGTCGAAACAATTAACCCCTAGTTCAATTTGTGTTTAATCTGTATGACGTCACTGCGTGTCAATAGGAGCAACCATAATAAGTGCCGTTGTGTCCTTATTAGCAGTTCATAAGATAATTGTACAAAAATAGTTCGAGAGTGGCGTGGACCTGTGACGCATTCTGATAAGTAAGTAAAATAAATTGTATTTCGAAAGGACATCATGTCATATGAATACGATTATACGAGTATGTATATGGTCTGTCTATGAGACACTATGAGGTTCGTCAGTACGAATAAAAAAAAAGAAGTTTATACCATTTTAATGTTAATGTCTTCCTAATGTGTAAAAAACAGTTTTAAAGAAAGATAATGTACGTCAATAAAAAAATAATTTGTCGGTCATCGAAGACAAAACACATTATTTACATTTCTAACATTTGTACCTCGAGTGTCATAAATAAGTTTTACATAAGCGAGTGAAATCCCTTAATCATTTTGTTTGCGGCTTCCCTCGCGTTCGGAACGAATTTTAGGTACTCCCATTCGAATTTATAATAGTTAGGAAACGTTTGATTCACGCTGAGTTACATGCTAGACGCTTCCTTTGAGATGTACAGTCACGTTTCTAATTGAAAAAATAAAGTTGTTTGTTCGATTTATTGGAAGTACACAAAGTATTATTTACAGGAACAATATAAATAAGATATCCACTCCTATATAATGAGAACCCAAATCTGGTCAACAACATTTCCTGCCAGATGGTGAAAAAAACCGTAACTCTTCAGACGCACTCGTTATTTATTTATTTATAATGGTTCTATATAAGTAAATGCAGAGTGAGATTGTGCTCATTCAAGAGTGGTATGCAAGATTTGTTGATTTGAACAAGGCATCCCATGTAGCGAAGTTCTAACTTCTTTAATACCATCTTGGAGTATTCGTTTAACGTAGACTGGTTAACTGTCTGACTGTCAACAGAGTAATAAAGCAAAAGAAGAAAGAGTTACGGAGATGAGGGAACAATTATTGTTGTTGTTGTTACTAAAATCTAAGATACCATTACTCTTAGGTTGCATTGCCCATTGAATGATCGCCTTACTGCGTTAACTATAGGATTAGTTGTCATATTGATGTGTGAATGATTTTACATAGGTAACAGACAAAACTAACGAGAAACTAATATGATGAATTGATGACCTTTGATCCTATTCCTACATACAAATTATGTACCCATATATTTGAGTCATAGTTCGACAATATCACAAATTTTATACGAACATTACATTTACCATAACGTTAGTACGTGTCGTTTCAGGTCCGTAATAAAAGCACGATCTAAGGCTAGAAATACGTAGAACTTCTTTGTGTACTTATAAGGGATATTTATTCGCTCGCTACTTAATCAACCAGCTAACCGGAGTACCTTTTTTATGTGAACTACTTTCCTTTATATTACTTGTTCAACAAATCATATCGGACACGATATTTCTAAACATACCTCATTTTCTCTCTTGGGTTTATAAGAGCAAATAATAATTTCGACATTTTGTTTAGTTTCTTTCTTATGTAAGTCTGCGATGCCAAAATTAGAGCAAAACCTTTTACAAGTTCGCGGTATTTCGCATACGAATAAAATAATGATATTAGAAAGTTATTTGTATATATTCAAATGTGCAATTCGTTTTAGAAAGTCGTTAAATCGGGCGCATCGGTTTTCAAGAACTAGAGCTCACCTTTTTGGACTGTCTTCTATCTAATCATGTTATAAAATATTCGAAAAGAAAATTGACATTAAACATTATTGTTTAAACATACATACATTAAGATTCAACCATTTAATAAACATATAATTAGTGTTTATTAGATAGATAGTTTCTTAGATAATACGTAGGTGTCCTTCTCAGACTTAACAGAGACAGCTAACATTAATATTGCGCCCAACCACGATTTACCTTCCTAAAATACACCTAGGTGCAAGAGACCGACACGTCAAATGCAAGGGGTGGCGACTACCCCTCAGTCTCGACACATATGGTACCAATAATCACTTATCGCCGTCGGAAATCAGCTGTCGCACTATGGGAGGGGTTGGCTTCTTATTCATTACAAAGGTTTACTTTACAAGCGTACTATAGACTGCTAAATATATATTTTAAAGGTGTGTTTGCTTATTATATACTATGGAGTATATATGTGTAAGTATTGCTTTGATAGTATGATGAGTGATAGGTTAAGAAGCGTGCGTACATAATTGTTGAAGCAGCAACAAGCTTTCACGAGCATCAATTGACTTATCATAGGGAAAAATCGAGACAGAAACAAACTCACTTGTCGTGGTTGGTGCGTGCGCCGCTAGAGCGACGTTCCGCCGCCGCGGCCAAGTATCGCCTCACACTGGCTTTGATCTGCGGGTCTGCCATACAACCTACTATCAGTCAATCAGCTGTTTTTTAACACACACGCACATAGTACACACAACGAACGAAAAGCTAATGAAGTATTTATAAGGCAAACAGCAAATGTACAAGCCACATATCGGCGTGAAATTGCGGGTTACATTTATTAGAGGAACCAAAGCCACTGTGAACGAGAGTTATCCCGGCCCAGATCCCAAGAGCCTCCTAAAGTTACTCCGCGTATCGCTATTCTTATTATTGTACTCGTAGGTAGCTTAGTTGGCAAATTCGACCCAACCACTCGGAAATAAACAAATTTGATTACTTGCAGTTGGGACGATACAACCCCGTTCCGAAGGTCATAGATCGGATAGCACAAACTACCAATACACAGAGATAAATCCTGGTTAACTCACCCTTTCTTAGTCTCAAAGTGACGGGATCCGACGCTAGTCGCAAGCATTTTAAAACTGGAACAATCAATTGAAATCTCTACTTAAGGCAATCAGGATCCATATTTAATTACTTTTCGTTGTCATAAGAACACTGCAACTGTACAATGTCCCTGTGTAAGAGAATACATTGCAATATATGTCGAAGGTACAATGGTTGGTGGTTTTAGAGTCAATATTTTTTGAGTAAAAGGGGTATTTTCTTGTAGTTATTGAGTATGCAGACGCAAACAGTATGTGTGAAATGTGAATTGCGAGGTTGCGTGTCGGGCACGAGCGGGGCAATAACGCGATCATTGAATTAGTGTTAATAAGTTCAAAGATAGCGGTCAAATTCCATGTTTAGTAGCACTACTAGTATTTTATAACATTGTAATCTAGTACGTGCGTTAACTACTAAAAAATAACAATATGAAATGAACTTGAATCACAGTGGCTGTTGCAAATTATTTACATACGCGGTGAAATAACATTTAAATTACACTGCCAGTTATCTTTATGTTAAGAATGTTTCGTAGATAAGTGGCATTGCGTGATGAATGGCAAATACCTTACCTTCTCGGGTAGTGAACCGGTTTACATCAGTCCCATTAACCTTGAGCAAAACGTCTCCTGCCTCGACCTGTAATCCAAAACGCGTATGCACTTACTTATTTTAAATCTTAAAATACTTAAATTACTGCCTCTTTTGTATGTGGTAAGCAGTTTCAACACTGAATCATTATGAACTCTCCTATAATGCTGAGATATTAATTCAGATATCGGATTCTATATTGCCGTTACTTATTTGGCGCAAGGTATAATCTTAAAAACAAGATTAGCACTACTATTAATTCAGCATGTGGGTCAAGGAGTTGACAGTTACATTAAATAAATGTTTTTTTAAATATTTCAGATTCGACTGTACCAAAGTTATATAAGAAGCACATAAGTTTTAGTTCACACTTTATATTCCTCGACAAAGAGAAGTCTAGACATTGAGTTAATGGCATTTCGATGTAGCGATGGTAGTCTCTATTATTATCAATAAGTATCTATTCAATTGTGTTTAAGACATCTATTATAGATGCATGTAAGTGCGGACGGACAGAATATTGTAGATTTACAACCAAAATTGGTAGATACATAAAATTCAGACCTTATATTTTACATTCTAAAGACAGTTGCAGGACGTGACTGGAGTTTACTATATTTCACTACACAAACGAAACTTAAATAAAACTTTACTGTCGGTTAACTGTTGGTATCACTACATCCTTGCGGGCGATGTCAATGATTCACAGAGGCGCAGTCCATTAATCATGACCGGTTTTTAAAAAACACACCGGGAACCCGATATTCAAACAATCACGCAACATATAATTTCCTCTTTTTTAATTATAGGCACATTATTTCAGTCGATACAATAAGTTGTCGCGCATCTCCCGTAAACAAAGCGTATAGAACTGATAAGTTTCCGTGCGCTGCGAACGTGCGCCTCGATCGACGTTCCACTCACAACTTGCCGTTATCACACGAGGGTCTGTTAATGGATTGAGCTTGTAGACAAGTTTGATCGAACTAGAAATAGAAGTGCGTAGCGGAAACATGAGTTATGGGACAGCTGAGTTCAATTTATATGGATTTGGTAGTTGTGAAAAATGGTGGTATGTTTTGAGAATATGACTACAATCTTTGTGTCTCATTTGTCTCAGTGGTTAAACGTTAATGAATGACACTGGCGTGTTATCGCTTACCAAGATCTAACAAAAAGGGCCAAAGATCTATAAAGAGGGCATCACTGGAGTTTCGGAAAGTACAAACTGTGAATCGAAAGGCGTAGAACTCCTAAGAAAACTGGATAGATTAGGTCGTAATGGTCAAACCATATAATACTTCAACATGAAAATTCTTGCAAAAGTAAAGTATACCACTTGCATCCAAACACTCGGAAGCTCGGTGTGAGACATCCTCACATTGAACGGACCACCTGCTTAAAATAGTAGGGAGCTTTTGGAAGAAGAAAGTGCATATGATGAGAAGAAATGTCTCAATAGTATCGTATATCAATAGTAATGATATTTATGTTATGTTTTTGATAGCATTAGTATAGTAATCTCATGGGTACCTATACTTTATATACGAACGCAACTAGAACATGAGGTAGTTTATTATACTATATTTTTCTAATTATATTTGTTACCATAGGTATAGAAGTTTATTGGTTTTACTACGCCGACGACTATTACTCACTTGCTACAGCAGACGGCGACGCGGCTGGAGTTGGTTGTACTGTACGAGTTAATATAGGTGTCACACACTCACGTCGCACTCAGCGATAGTACATTTTAACCGCTTTCGCGCCGCCCGCTGTCTATCCCGACTGAATGAATATTTCCCTATGATACATATATTCCCGATGAATATTTAACTACTTGCTCTTGAGTGTTCTATGACCAGTGTCAAGTGTTATACATAAATAATAAGTCAAACGAAAATCTTTATCAAAAATGATGTAGGATGTCATAGTACTGATGTTTTTACTTATCGTGGTTTTAGTCATGACTTGTCTCGTCCAGCACGAGAATAGTTATGATTTGATTCAGATGGCTTTTTATCGATTTCATTGTTTTTAATTCTCGTTTTGTTATTTTAAAGTATCCCTTACTAAAGTGTTGTTGATAGAGATGTTTCATCCCTGTATCACAGATACCTACTATGCCCACTAATATAATCGTCATTAAAAGTGCTACCTACACATTTTAAAATCCTATTTTATTCTGTTCTTAGAATAACTTCAAAACAAAGATTCATACATCATTACTTATTTGTGATTATTTCTGTACGTTTACTGTACCTAAATACCGGTCCACAACCGGCCATATCAAATTACCGATGCAACCCCATACTTCCTCGAAAACAATGTTTATAAAGAGGGATGAGTTTGACCAGTTATCAATATAAAATAATGTATTTTAGGACCCTTTCAATATTTTAGATTGTATTAAACATAACAGATAACACAGACATATAAAATAAATTACAAAAAGAAAAATCTGTACGTATTTTCCTTCTGTAACTTTTTTTTAACAATTTTCATAATATTAAGAACTAAAGTGTAAAATACGACGTAAACAGAAGACTGAATAAAACATAATTAAAAAACCGCTGACACAAAAAAAAAAGCTTTAAAAGACAACAATTGCTCATTGAAACTATTCTAATAAGCCCCAAACATGGTATATATGCTGTTATTTTCTAAAGAGTTGTCCATCCCGCAGACTATTTGATGCAGCAGCAGCAGTTCCAGGTCACCATGTCGTGGAAATACTCCTTATCCTTATCCTCCCTTGAAATACCTTCAAAGTAACAGTATACCAAACTTCAGATCAATCGGACATGTGGATTTTAGTGAGATCCCTTCAACGCCTAGGAAGTGAGCTGATGATCTTCAAAATTTATAGCTAAGAACCACCTCGATCACATCGGCTTTCGAACAAAAAAATCCACATCGAAATTGGTCCATCCCTTCGGGATCTATGATGGCACAGACAGATACACAGGTTAAACTTATAACACCCCTCGTTTTGCGTCGGGGGTTGAAAACTCTTTTCTGTATTGTTTTCGAGTCTCTATTTTTTTACTTTAAACCAAATATGTAATAGTATATGATTATTCAATAGTTAGGTACGATGTCCTTATATTCTTTTATACAAATTCAACGAAACCCGCTTTAACGCTTAATAAAAGGAACCGATTTGATTAGACAGTCAGCACCTTAGTCTGGCCCTGACTAAGATACGACAATAGTAAGGTTTTATCTCTAATTGTAAAGGTTTTAAAAGCAGAACTGTCATTTACTTAACGTGTGGTGATCACACTTAAGTTAACACATAACTAACCTTATTTTTCTATAGAATGAGGGTACAAGTTTTTGCTGGGACATAGTGTCGTGCAATTTCATTTTGGCCAAAATTTGGCCATTTTGGCCATGTCGAGTATTCCCTTAATCTAAGTTGTGGCACCGACTTCAAACAGACTAGAAGGGACTATTGCTTTTATAATGTTAACTGCTATACTGAGGGTACTCATTTTAGTTTTTTTACTTAGATTTGTAATTATTTTTAGAATTTTTAGTGCTCTTTGTCAGTATGGTTTGAGGTCGGTTCCACTTTTTTTATAAAAGGATTTATTGTACCATTTTTAGTGTAAGATATGTTTGTAATGAGTGGATATTACGATATTTAAAACACTATGTACCGTACAAACTGTAGTTAAATTATATTAAATATAGTTTAATAAGTCCGTTACTTTATTACGATAAGATAGTAAGATGTTACTTTTGAACCCGAAAATATAATATTTTCCACACTACTTAATTTTCCAAAACTAGAAGTGATATTTGGATCTAAACGGGAAATATACCCTTCTAAATAAAAAAATATATTTCATAATCGGTTTACAAATTAAAGACTTTTGAGGTAACAGAAATGAAAATAATTGCGTAACAATATTTTTTTTGTCTGAATGTTTTGTAATCTCATATACATATTACTCTTTAGTGCACATATCTCTCTAACCCAACACAAACACCTAAAAAATATCTTGAAAGAAACACCACGGTCAGTACATGATTAGATTTTTGAATGAGTTATCCTCTAACTCCTAAAGGTCAAGGACCCTTCCATCATCAGCTCATCAACATGACATAACGACTACTAAACGCAAATACCTAAATAGCTAGAGAAACAAGTTAAAACACGTCGTGGAGCCTGTAAAATTTGAGGGTTTCCCACGATATCTCTTGGATCCTATCATAAAATCCTGATTTGGTGGTAATGAACCACCTCGGGAGTATACCCTTTCGATTACAAAAAGAATTTTGAAAATCGGTCCATAAACACAAAAAAATACCGACGAATTTATAACCTCCTCTTTTGGGTTTTTGAAGTCGGTTAAAATACATGACATGTACTGTAAAGCAGGTATTACTTTACTACTAATATTTTTAAGCTATTGCATAGCTTCTATCGCGGGCCTTGAGCGTGAAGACCGAATCCAGAAATTCCGTAACGAAAATAACCTAACACCTCCCACTCCGACCGGCACAGCGGTGATACTTTTTAGTTTTGCCGTCTATCGATGAATAGCAGAACTTTTTTTAAGGTCGTTCCTTTGACATGACAAAGAGGGAGACCAGTTTATTTTTATTAATGTAATAACATCCTCATACAATACCCCCCCCCCCCACCAAAATTTTATAATTGCATTGAGGTCCCTTCAAAATACCTCCCCTTCTCTCCCCTCCACTTTTTTCATTTATCCACCTTTGATTTTCTCGGTACCTGGAGCACTTGGGCTCCCATGTTTGGGTTTGTCTGAACCGGGAAAAGGAGACGAACAATCTGGCCCCTACAGATTTTTTTTTTAAATTATCGTAACATGTAACAACACTTCAGTCTGTTTTTCTAAAGAGGGGCTAGGGGGGGGGGGGATTTTCGAGGGATGACTTATTTTTTTATTATTGCATTGAGGTCCGCACAAAATACCTCCCCCTCACCCTTCAACTTTTTTTTATTTATCCCCCCTTTGATTTTCTCGGTTCCTGGAGCACTTGGGACACCCCATGTTTGGGTTCGTCTG